CACAATTTTTATCCGTTTTAAAAAAAACCGTGTGAATATATCACCATTACACACTCAGATCTTGGTTCCTTTTGATAATCGCGGATACCCGAACTTAACTTCCTGGATTATGGCCCCTGATTGTTCGAAAAATCTCATTTTTACCTTTGGATTCTCTAAAGGTATCAATTTTTTCTGATTTTAAAAGCGTTTAAATACATCACCATTCTACCATAATGACGGTTGAATTTGAATTTCGGGAAAATCGAAATAAAACTGCCTGACAAAATGGCCGCTCTTTGTGGGCAAATTGTGTAGAAGTGTGTAATACGAAGGTGGTGGACCCTCTAGAGGTCACAATTTTTATCCGATTTTGATGAATCTTAAAACATATCTTTATATCCCAAAGATCTCAGTCGCTTTTGATATTTGCGCATTTCAGACCATAACTTTCTGGATTATCGCCCCTGATTGTAGAAAAAATCGCGTTTGTTTTTAGCTGGTGTCTATCCATCTCTTGCAAAATGTGGGCGTATCCTGCCTGGCAGCCGCTGGTTTTGTATTTTTATTATTCTGTGTTGAACAATAATATGTTTTATACATTCAGCAAAAAACTAAAAAACAATTACAAAATAACGAAGCAATAAATAGACAGTTATAATATTGACAAGAAGGTGATATCAAAATAATTGTTTGGCTTTAGTTTAATCCAGTATCCTAATTCTTGCCAATAAAGATGTATTAATGATTCTGTTTCTTTTTTGCAAAATATACATAGGTCTGATTTAATAATTCCAATTTTAGCTAAAAATTTATTTAGTAACAATTATTCCACTATTGAGTCGAATTGAAACCATTTCAGCCTAGTATCGATGATGAGCATTAAGCTTAGTTTGGTGCGAGCGTGAAGCAAAAGAAGGGATTAAAAATTAATGAACAAAATGTACATTTAACTTGTTGGACTGATTGGATTTAAGGTGTATTTTCAAGATGATGTTTGTTGACTGTGGCTATGGCGAATGTTCGCAACAATTGAAGTACTAGTAGACGTAAAGCTCAACGCGTGAATCGTGTGAATGCTGGAAATCAGAATTAACTATATTCTATTTCCAACCCCACCACCACAACCACAAATAGGTCGCCCAGTGAGAACTGCGGTTTAAAAAGATAATATACTCTTCGTTACAGGTAAAACTACTGTTAAGGAGAAGCCAGGACAAAATTACATTGACATTAACCCAGCAAAATGTTTTCAATCAGAAGGAATTGTTGTTATTATTGTTATACTTGTTGTAACTGTTGTATTGTTATTATTTGTTACTATGTGTTTAAGTGTTAGATTTGTCAAATCAAAATCACAGATCAAAGTTATCGAGTATTCATCGTCCACGACAGACAGCAGCAGGACTTGAGTTCCGAAACTAATCATTTAAGACGAGGCGATGTCACCAAAGTCCTAGAAGAGTCGTTTTTATATTGTAGCTTATAACCCAAAATAAAAACGGTATAACTTTAAGAGGACTTTTGGGGCATGTCTGTCATCAAATTAACAAACTTATCGATATGTGTATAGTATATGCTTTATGGCTTTTTTATTTGTAATAGACATCTGAACTTCGAGATCAGATTTGAATGTTCAAATTACATGTATCCATTTAATATCGTTGGGCCGTCTTGAACAATGATTTGATCTAAGTAAGCCATGTATATGATGCTATGAATTGAATTAAATTAATTATCTTGTTGAAAATCATAATTCATCCTTAATAAATATTGATTGTTGGTAATATGTTGCTATTCATGGACTGACATCCGTTACAAGTCAAATTAATACCTACATTTAATAATAAAAATTTAATACATAAATTAAAAATTACATTGTTACATTTAATCTTTATGGCTAAATATCAAGTGATTATACTCGAAACGTCGCTGAATTAAATTCTTCAAGTAACTTGTATTCCATATAATTGTGTCATGCGTTATTCTCATCCGGTTACTAAATGCCGCTTAAACAATTTACTACAAACTGTATATAGGCTCATTCTATGTCAAGTGGGCAAGGGGTGGGAATTCTGCACAGTTTGCACATTATACATGTACAATAGCATATATTTTTTCTCAGATTTTTTTCGAGGGGTTCGATTTTCAAACTTTCTGAAATTTGATCCACTTGACATGGAATCACTTATATGTAAATATATTTTTGTACTTTAGACAGTTTTTTAAACATTTCTTTTTATGTACATAATTGTTATAAACCATGTACTGAATAAAATATCTTCCTGCGTACGTCTTATTCTAGACTACTTGCTTTTCATATTCCGAGCATTCCTTAAATATCTAGGTTTCAGAAAACCCCAGTCCACCCCAGTGGTGTATTCCTGCTTTGAAAAGAGATATCTTGCACTTGGTTTGTCATTGGTTTCCACAGCATTATTCACATCACATAGAGAAACTATTACCGAGTATGTTATCAGAGGTTTTCCGTGTCTAAGGCATGGGATTAGGATTGCAGGGCCTGTCATTTAGTCAGGTGACGTGGTTTCGATCTCAAGACAATCCGCCGGTTTCCTACCACTACTTCAAACTAAATCGGGATAAAAAGTCCGTCGGTCCCATTGCATAATTAACCTTTTAAGCCTTAATATTGATTGGTCAGTTTAGTAGAAAGATTCCGCAAAAGTACAAATAACAAATTGACGAACAAATTAGAACGGTTAATTTTGTATTTATTAACTAAATTTCTAATTTTAGTATCCATATGACTACAGTTTTTAAATTTTGTTATGTATTTTCGATTACCCCCCCCCCCACCCGGGACAATAATTGAAAGCTTTCTTAAACACGTTTATCATTGAAAGAAGGCCTAAATTAACTCTATGTTGGTCCAATTTACAATCTCATCAGAAAGCGCAGTTAGTGTGTATCCTTTCATTTACGGTTTGAGAAGTTGTTTTTTCATCAACATTTGAAGACATATACATGGGGGATCACGATCACGGTGGTTAAGTGGGTAAGACGCTGGCTCGCTAGCCTGGAGGTCTGGTGTTCGATCCCTGCATTGGCAGAGAAAGTTCATCCAGATTTTCCGACGTGGTCTCTCCCCCCCCCCCCCTTGTCGGTGATGCAGGAAGGAGGGCCTTACGAGGACAGCTATATCTAGTCGTTCCGATGAAAAACCGAGGTCCCGTGTACACATTGGCGTGCACGTAAAAAACCCTTGACAGTTGGATTTCGATATAAGAGACGTTAAACCCCATTTCATTTCACATATACATCGATTTAACATCCAATCTCCTCCAAATGAAAGTTATGGAAAGATGCGTTATGTTGTTATTGAAACGAGTTGGAGGCAGACCACCATTAAATTTCATCATATTGTAGTTCGTCTATTTATAGCAATTCTCTCTCTCTCTCTCTCTCTCTCTCTCTTTTCTCCCCTTTTGCATGCCCATTTTTGTTGACTTTTTGATCTAGAATGGACGAAGAGGGTTTGAATTAACATTTTCTGCCAGGTTTTGGTAAATATTCATGATTTTGAGGCGGAAGGATAAGAGGGTTATCAGGTTAGCTACGGCGATATGTACGGCAACTAGTTACATGTTTTTAGTATGCTTCTTCAAGTTTGTGTATCTCAAAATTTTGGTGGTCAACCTCATACAAATTTTAGTGCAAAGACATGACCATTTGTTCCTCTGTCAGTAGTGAAAAGTATTCAGCCCAACGAAAATTTGGGGAAAAGTTGGAGGTGGGCAAAGAGGCCAGAATTAACATTGAAGTCAATGGGGAAATTAATGGTGGTCTGCCTCCATTTAGTTTAATTGGAGTTACTCCCCTTGTATTACTGACAGCACTTTTCAGACAGCCACCTCATACACCCGATTACACAGTGAATAAATGAAATGGGGTTTAACATCCTACTTTTCCACATCAATCGGGATAATAAAGACGGCCAATTACATATATATATATTTGTCATCAGGCGGACATTATACGGGACCGGCGTTTTCCAATGAAATAATTTGCTTAAATTTTAAAGGATATTTTAGAGTTTTCAATATTCTCCCTGTATTATTATTGTTAATCATTCAGATATAAGCGTCCTCCTGTCTGAGAGAAATTAGTGTAATAGTAATATTATTAAACGAAACTTTGAGAATCGATTTTAATATCAATAATATATACGATACGGCGAGCAGACGGCACACCATCAAAGTTAATACACCTTTCAAAACACTTGTTATTGAATGTTGTAAAACGTCATGCCCTACCTCGTATCATATAAATCTAATATTATCATAGTTTTAACGTCACAAATCGACGTTAAATATTTAAATAATTGGATATGCTTGCTATAAACAATACGTCATTATTTTGACGCAGTCAAAAGGCGTCGACATGCCTATTTATCATGCACTTTTACAATGTTAGGTGCAGGGTGTAACTTTCATTTTTTTGTGAATGTATATTATAATCTATTCATGTCTTTTATACTGAATCACCAAATCATACATTTATCTTCAAAATATGAATGAGAATAATGATGGCACTGTGTCCTCTTATTGATATCTCCATGCTCATTTAAAAAGCCATGATGTTGAATTAAAGATTCATTCAGATTTGTAACCTAAGTAGATTTACGAGTCTAGGATTGATCTCAACATGACTTAAAACTAGTATAACAATAATTGTAAGGCAGTGATGATGTATCTTTAAATCTGTTTATCAGCTATTAGATACAAAATGTATTTACATGTAGATTATAAAATACGGGCACTAACCCCATCTCCTTAAGGCAGTGGGTGGAACCATTCCTTAAATGTGTCTGGTACCTAACACCAATTCATAAAATGCATATTAAAAACAAACAACGCCTCTTCTTACATACGTAATTTCCATTTCACGCAGAATAATTTATAATAAACAGAGACAGCTATAAAGGATCTTCTTAAAAGTGTCAGTTGCCGTGTATAAATACTGTTTTTAAATTTTGCTTTCGGCGTTTAAGACTTAAGCATTTTTTTTTATTTCATATTTTATTTTTGCTGTCAATGTCATTGGTGTTATGCGCAGCTAGTTATAACATTATCCAAGCTACAAAGAGTGGACGGTGAGTGTAAAGTTAAATGTTCTTCTCCTTTGGTCTTCGAAAATTATATTTATTTAATTAAAAATGATCAACAGATTCTTTATTCCTATTATTTTCTGTTCAATGTGCAGGACTACGTTATGATTTCTTGTGTTCTTCCAATCTTCGTACCCTTAATATTCAGCACTGGTCGCCTCCATTATAATACGAATGTTTTTACACAATGTCATGATAGTAAAAATATGACTACAAACAATTTAATGATGACATTTAGTATTTTAATCTATGTAATCAAAATATATGCTAATGAAACTCTTAAACTGAAGATAATGGGGAGGGAAAACTATTCATGGTAGTTTTAAAGTCTATGTTACCTGGTTGACAACCCATCATTAATTTACATGTCCAAATTCTGAAAATTCTATAAGGGATGTATGTTTATGTATTGTTGGAGCATAAATGTTACATTTTATGGCAATAAAACTGACAATTTATTTTGGATTTCAATCTAAGTTGTCTTGTCAGTTTAATTTAAGTTAAAAAGAAAATTTATAAATAAAATGATTTGTTTTATTTTATAGATGTCGTCAATAAAAGTAGTATCGGTGTTTCTGGTCGTTTGTATGGGTAAGTGTTTAATATATAATGAACATCACATTAAAAAGGCCGTGTAACTCGCCAAAGAAAATAAACGTAATAAATTTAAATAATAACTGTACGGCTCGACAATTGTCAGTTACACCATAATTGTTTTTAAATTCTTATAAAACCTCAGGGGCGGATTAAAGATACATTCCGTCTTACAATATAGCTCCGCTTGAGCAAATAAATGGTGTAATGTCTGACAACGGTAATATTTTGATCTAATATTCCTGAGATGCTTGCACTCAATCAAAATGTGCTTAACCGTCAAAGGTACTTGACATTGTTTACATTCCGGTTGAGGCTCTCGCTTTAAGATGACAATATGTGTTTAAAAAGAGCGACACAAAACAACTTCATCCCTCCTGTTGGTTCTATAGGAGTTGGGCCAATTCCAGAGGAGTGGCTTAGTGTGATGAAGTTTATATGTGCCTGCAAGATCCCAAGACCGTGGCAAGCGGCCATAAATAAAATGATTTATTGATAATTTAAAATCTTTAAAGGGTAATAAAAACGGGGATAGGGGGAGATCTAAATCGGTTTTGGCAGCTAAATCTGCTTGATCATTCCTCCTTATCAACGTGACTGGGTTGTCTTTGCTGTTAATCTCGTAAGATAGTACTAATGGGTGTTCAAGATGTTTATTGTTAATTGCTTGAAGCAAGGACAGGAAATCAGTCTAGATGACATGCTGTAGTGTATTTGAAGTTTAAATGAACTCCAAGGCCTGAAGAATGCAGCCTAGAAGCAGACAGTAGGAGACGGACTGATATGATCTCAGATGGCGTCACGGTAACCGAAGCTACCCGATCACCATCCTTCGAACCATCCGTAAAAATAGGAGCATAATCACTTTTCTTAGACCTTAGCTCTCTTTAGAGCGACTGGAACACCGTCGAGCTATTATCTCTCTTTTTATGCTGAGTAAGATCTAAGTCAATCTGTTTGAAAGAAATAAAGCAAATGAATTTCAATTGTTCTTAGTCTTGTAAAAAAAGTAACATTTACTGGTGAGCCTGTACTCCAGCTGGGTACAGACAATTAATAGGACTATTAGTGGAACGCAGGTGATTCACGATTCACACTAGAAAGGGGGAAATTAAATGAAATCGGGTTTAACGCCCTACTACTCTACTCCAACTGTAGAGCGGAAGAAGAACGCCCTCCGCTACAGTTTAGTCATCTCGATAGCTAATACTAAGTACATGAGGGTAGCACCACACCACTCGGCAAACCTCGGTGGATTCCGGTACTCTGCATCTTGCCTTGGCTGTAGGGCGGTAAATGATATGTATCTACACCTATACAATTGCGATGCGGCTATTAGGAAAACTTTCCGCTTTTAGAAACAAGTTCTCAAAATTGCGTCATTGCAATGTTGTCTTTGTTTAAACAAAACCGGACAAACTTGAGTGAAAACCAGCTTCAACCGATAAATAGAATTTAGATTGCTACTTTGATTAATCATCTACTTTGGCTTTGCAGATGGTTTCCAAGACGACAAACTTTAAAGTATTTTGTGTATATTTTAATAATTATATATCATTAAATCAAAAATCGCGACCAAACCGTATTATTATAAGATGACCATCAGTCTATAAATAATTTTTTCAATCCTTATATGGATATCGTCAAGCGGTGGCTATAACATAAAGTTATTACAGATCAGATGTCTTTGATATAGTTATTGTTTTCATTGAATTAACATGAGGCCATATACAATAGTACACTTGAAAAGCATAATTTTATCAATACATTTACATAAGAATGGAAAAATATTACACGTTAAAATCTCAAAATTAACGAATGTACTTTAATACACCAAATCGCATATGTGCTGTAACAAAACAAATTGCATACATTTTTTATTTAGTTTTCCACGTCAACTATTACGTTATTGCATATTTACTTAATGGACGATGTTTTGTTTTAAAATTAACGAAATTGCATCTTTTATCATCCCAGAAATTCAGGGGCCCTTTTCTTGGACGCGGGTCCCTTGCGCTGAAGTCAAAGAGATCATTGACTTCTATTCTAGGACCCGTGTCAATGGGACCGTTTTCTCCGATTCGGGGCCCCTGTCACAGCGGGTCCATATCAGATTTTCTTCCCGGATTCAGTGTTTTCTTTCAGTTTTATTTTTTGAGATTCTTAAACCTAACTCTAGTCCTAGCCCTAACCTACATTTTCGCCAACAATCACGTGTCCTAACCTTATTCACATCCCAGCGACCTTGACGAAATCTTGAATTGGCCTTAAGAAATTGATCTAGCCCTGAATGACGTAGACCCGCTAAAACTTGTCTTTTTTGTTGTTCTCTACTGCTCTAGAATAGTCTCCTATAATTCAGTGCACTCAACAGGTTAGAACTATTTCATAAGGCCAACTTTAAGTTTGGTCAAAGGTCACGAGATGTAAACAGGGCTAGCACTAATTCCAACTCTAACCCTAACCCCGGACCTAGCCCTAACGCTTGCCCTGGCCCTAAGCTACAACCCCGCCAACAATCACGTGCCCTAATTTTATTTATATCTTTGCGACCATGACGAAATCTTGAGTTGGCCTTAAGAAACAGATCTAGCCGAGTAGGTGATATGGCCTTTTATTGCCTTGTTCCCTACATTAAACAGAAACTGACCGATTTATTTGAAAACTCCCCTGTCACCTGTGTCGTGAAGACTAAAATAAATTTGAATTTAAACTATAAAAAAACGAGAAGAAATTCTAATGTTCTAATGATATACCTAATATTTTGTAGGTATATCTGCCCAGAATATATATTTTAACTGTAGGCTACAGGGTCATACATGTTTAAATGGAGGAACTTGTAATGGAAATACAGGAATGTGTAGTTGCACACCAAGTCACCAAGGTTATGATTGTGGGCTAGCTAAAGGTAAGGATTTTTTATTTATAGTAATGACTGAATGTGACCATTGCTGGCTAACAATACGATACCAGATGATATTAAACTCTGATATAATATTATGTATACATTTTAGAATTAGAATAATCACCACTTTCAGTGTAATTCCGTTAAATTAAATCACACCGTTGTCATCTTTTTCCAAACTGTTGATTTCAAAACAAAAGTATCAACCGTTACATTTTTTGTAACCGTTTTATCTCCAATTTGTGCTTCTGTCCAGCGGTAGTCGGATGCAACAATGATCAACTAAGCACTATAGCTTTTCTCTTAAATATGTATATATAGTTACTGTCTTGAATGTCTGGATTAATCCTTCAATAAGAGATAACAAATGATATTTCGCAAATCAATGTTTGGTGAAGATATAACAATGTCACACCTGAACAGATTTTGAGGGAATATATTTTATTTACGTTGGAATGTTTTCGAGAATAATAATCCTTATTTGATTTTATTTCAGATTCCATTGTAAGTACACGGTGTGATCCACCGTGTCAAAATGGAGTATGCTATGCCGCAGAGCCACAAAATAAATGCTACTGTTCTTCTGATTCATATTTTGGAGAGGCATGTGAACAAAGAAGAGGTAGGTTCATACCATTATTTTTCTTATATTTCGATTTCAAATCAGTCTGATTTTGACATATTGCCAACAAATAATTGTATTCATAAAATATTAAATAGAAAAGGATAATTTGAGTTATATAGATAGTGATTTACACGATTAAAACACTGATATGTGGATGTTATCGGCACAGACGCGTACAGGTAAACAGGGCGGACAGTTCAGATAGGCGACTAGAGTTGCAGCCTCAGAATAGAATCGTGGGATATATTCATCGGAATAGACTTAAGACACACACAATAATAGAGTCTGGCCAATAAATTCAACGTCTACAACATTAACTGCCTTGTTTTCATTTTTACAACAAAATAGATGGGGCAACAAACTTTACTTTCATTTTGATCCCTTTTATTATATACTCTTCAAAAAAAGTAGGGGATATTCAGAAACAATACAAAACCAGTGTATGTTAATAACAGGCCAATTGCCTACACATGAACATAAACAGTTCACATGGGCGGCTTATCTGACGGCCCCATTTAATTCGCAAAGAGATACACTGTCAAAAGTGAAAATGGACGTTTTTGATTTTTGTCTTAATAATGAGTAATTGCTCCACCAATCCTCAGACATTCAGTAATTCGTCGTGGCATGCTCCTAATCAACCGCCCAATTACGATTTGGGGCAATCTGACCCACTCCTCTTGCAGTGCCACGGCCAATTATTGCAGTGTTGTCGATTGACGTTGACGTCGACGATCACGTCTCCCGATCAAATTAAACGTAACACACTAAAGCAAAGATACGATAAACAGTAAATCTTATGCAAGAACCGATAAGACAGCAAACATGGATAGGATAAACCAGCAAGCGGCAGTTTTCATCAACCCTTCCTTGAAGTGTCAAATTTGACAATGAACCTCTCCCACGTGTATGGCGCTATTGCGTGTCGCACATGCAGCTCAGTGGTTCTGTTGGGGCGATAATTTCTTCATCTGTGAACATACTCTCAAAGCATGTCAAGTGTCCATGACTATTTATCATATTAGAACCTGCATAGGTATTTACATTTCAATATCCCCTACTTTTTTTGAAGAGTATATTATGCCATGTAGAGAATCCACATTTTATTTCTTCTGTTATAAGAGCCCTAGTTCAGACACCATTCACATCTTGTTGAACTTCTTGCACATTCTTGCACTATTCCTATGTTTTGTTGGGACATACTCTGTGTGTGTGTTGTGGTTGAAGAACTTTTGTTCAGTGACCATTCGCAGTTTATTGGAACATACTCTGACTGCGTGTTCTAATCCCATTTTTGTTTTGTCTTTCTTTTGTTGTACATGTATCCTAAACAGGCTGAATCATTGTATTAAGCCCATTTACCGGTAATATGAAAAATAAAAATGGTTTCTTTTTCTATTATAGCTCAAGTAGCATGTTTTGGAGACAGGTTTAATATCACCATTGTTCCTTTCCCACAATTCTTTGGTACGGTGTACATTAAAGATAACAGAACGGACGATGCATGTATGTTCACCCAAGTAACAGATCCAGATACAAATCTGCAGAGTTACAAAGCCAGTCTAGATTTTAACAGTGGTTGTTCAATTATGGAAGCGAATAACGCACCTAATGTAAGAACAATGTGTTCTACGCAGAATTTCACACCCTCTTGTCGAGTTATGTCAAATGAAATATTGACAGCGGACTTCATACAAAATTGAAAAAAACCCAAAAGGTTTGTTAGACCACTTCCCGAATCTGAAACAGATCCAGACTACCAATCGCTTACGAATGTAGTACTATTTGTTAAAAGGCAAAGTTCTGTGTTTGATCCCGGTGTTGGACGAGGAATCCCTCTAAATTTCCCCATCCGATTTTCCCTTATCAGTGGTACAAGAAAGGGGGTAGGGGACTGCCAAGCATTAGCATCTAGTAGTTCGTATAGTCTAGTGTATACCATTAACCAGACCTTTAAAAACACCTTTGAAATAGAGATAGGAGTAAGTAAGAAATCAAATTGAAAAGACAAATATGTTATAATAAAGGATTCTTGATATTTATTAATACAATCTTATTCCAATCATAATTGTAGCCAGAACAAACGACTTATTCAACAGAGGTTACGATTGGTAATTCTCCAGTTTTCGAAACAGGGTATGATTTTGCGGTAAAGGCAGCTTGTATATTTTCTGACGCAGACAATCAGAATGTCAGTGCTGGGGCGGTACCGGTGGATGAAAGGTTAGAATATACGTCTCATTACTTTACTAGAAAAACCTTACTTCAATTCGAGGCATTCATTGTATCCCGTCTTCGTATTCTTTGGTTGTATTTAAATGGACCGTCCCATTGTCAATTGTATGAGTGACTTGCTAATCGCGCATGTATTAGTATATAATTATCCAGGTGCATCAAACTCCCATGTGGCAACTGAAAGTTTCTATTTCTTTGAAAATGTAATGTATCACAGTGCTTCAGATAGTTTTTAATGTTTCAAAACAGACCATTTTAATTTTGTGTAAAACGTTCAGTTTTATTTTCGTCTCCTTTTGTATTTTTGCAGAACTAATTTTCCCATAGACCAAACATCAACAGTATATGAGCCAGTCAAGTTTACTACCCAAAGAGCGAACGGTATGGCAATAACACCGCCACTGTATATAGGATCACCGCTCAAACTGTACTTCACACTCTTAGATTTGCGAAGTAAGTAAAGTAATTTAAAAATACACAGAAAGTTTCTCACAGAAGTAAAATTTAAAAATACACAGAAAGTTTCTCACAGAAGTAAAATTATTCTGAAGTTTAGGCCGAAATGCACACCGAAAACGATTGATCATGGCTGATATTTATAATTCGAAATAACTAATATTAAGTTTTAAAATGTTAAATCTTATGTGAATCTATAGATATCCATTGCACAAAGGATTTGCGCACTTGAGACGGAAGAAAGCGACTTTCAAATTACTTTATAATAACTTTTTTTTTACAAGAAATTAAATGGGACTGTTTAATTTGTTTTGGGTGTAATATTCAATGACGAAACTGACAAAAATGATGATTGAGTCATTATAGATGTTACAAATGACATTAAATCATGGTATCTGTTGGAACCAATATATTATAAACTGTAGTGAAATTGATGCTTTGAAAAAGTAATTTTAATAAGTATATTTCCAGAATACACTAAGTTTCAAGTTGTCAATTGTGATGCAACGAACGGATTAGAAAACAACGATGAAAAGCGTGTAAGAATTATCGAAAATGGGTAAATAGATTCTTCTATAAATATTGGCATCCTCTAGTCTGGCTTGGCTTATTGTGTCAACAGCAGAACACAGGCTCGCTTATATCGGCTTTATCTGCAGGTATACTTTTAAATAATACCCATTGAGTTCGATTTTGGACCAAAAACAAATATTATCGAAAATGGGTAAATAGATACTTCTATAAATATGGGCATTTATAGTATGGCTTTGCTTATTGTGTTAACATCAGAACACGGAGTCGCTTATATCGGCTTTATCTGCAGGCTTATTTTTATATACTATCCAATGAGTTTTGACAATTTTCTTTTGGACCAAAAACAAATATTATGAGTAAGTAAACCTACAATAATTATCTTGTTATAGGTGTCCAACAACTGAGGGTAAAGGCATATTTACAAGTTATATTATATATGATGATATTCCATCTGTCTGTGTATACTTCGATGCCTTCCGTTTTCCAAATTCACCGATTGTATCTTTTGCATGTGATGTAAATGTCTGTAAACCTGAAGATGATTGTGCACCAGTAAGTAAATATATGTTCATTAACTACAAAACAGAAAACAGTCTGCCAAGTTGAAAGATATATGTCCAAATGTCCATTCTAGCAAAGGGGTGTAGCAGCACCCTACCCCAACTAATTTTTAACTAGACCCATTAAAGGGTAGGGACATGGGCCGATCATAATCGTCGCATTTTGAAACGCATGGTCTTTCAGTATTTTTATCCATATCAAAACGGGACGATGTTTTGGGAATCGTTGAGTATCTTGGTCTAGTGTTAAAGCTGTCTTTATGATATTGTTGATCAGCTTTACTGGACATACTGTTTTTATAAGAAATTGTTTAGCTCACCAAGTCTTTGATTCTTCTAAGTTTCATTTTAACACTAGACCAAGATACTCAACGATTCCCAAAACAGAAGAAAGAAAATAATAACATCATCACATTAGTCACAACATTTAATCCACACTACAATAGACCAATGAACCTGATCGACATGAATAAACAGATGCTGGATAAATGGTCAAAAATGAAGAAGATCGTTTCTAACACCAACTTCATAAGCAGATTTACACAGTCAGTAAATCTAAGGAAACTGTTGACATCGTCCCGTTTTGATATGGATAAAAATACGGAAAGACCATACGTTTCAAAATGCGGCGATAAGCGGCGTGGACTATGTCAAATAACAGAGTATTCGATGTCAAACAAAACATGAACTGTAGAATTAAATATGTGGGTTATTTGTTAGCTTGCAAAAGCGACAAACACCTGAATCTAAGGATCAACTTGCACGGGTCCCAAATACTACATTCGGAAAATAGAACAATTCCGCTTAGTAGCCATCTAGAAACCTATGGCAAGGGCAAATTCAAAGTAGAGCCAATATATAAATTGAATTTCATCAATGAACAGTTGCGGGAAGCTACAGGAACAGACTTATAGAATTATTCTCTCCGAAACTTATTGGACGAAGATGAACATTAATTTTATAAATAATTAATTCCCCTTTGACATGCTGGAGTTATGTCCCAGTTTTGACGTCGCGCTATTGTGTAAGTAAGCGAGGTAAAATTAAGCGACGCCATTGTCTTTTGTATTAGCCCCGAATACGCCGTAAGGCCGAAAGATCTTGGCACTGATTTAAAGTTATTTAAATATAGATTATTTCATCAAAATATTAGTATTTTGTTATATATATATATATATATATATATAATAAATAAAAGGACGCTATAGGAAAGCAAACGGTTGAACCCGATAATAATTGTGGAGATATGAAAATAAAAAAAAAGGTACTCTGCAGTCGATTTCATTGTGTTATTTTTATCTTAGATAAATCACTAAAAAAGTAGAAAAGGGTGGAATCGCTACGCTTGGCAAAACCTTTTTCGACAAACTAGGGGTGGGGGGGATGGCCGAATGGTTAGCACGTGCGCGCTGTTATAAGGCCTGTTATTGAGTCAACTGGCTTGGTTTCGATCCCGGTTGTACGTGACAAGGAGTAGGGTCGCCTGTCCAACCTCGTGGGGTTTCTCCGGGTCCTCCGGTTTCCCCCCACAGCTAAAGACCCCTACGCGCAAGCGGATTATTGAAATAAAATTAAAAAAGACATATGTTAGTCCCGAAATGACCTAGGTTGTGTCGAGTGGACGTTAAACCCCATTTCTATCTCTCTCTTTTCGACAAACTCTTCCCGGTTTTCCAAACTCACGTACCTGCCCCCGAGTTAGCGATATAGTCGCGCCATATGGCGGTCATTTTTAGAATTGTAATGGAATCCGATGTTACAGCGGAGGATATTCTATTTTGATAATCAAATATAGTTTCTCTTTAGTTTGTATATAGTTTCTAAATAATGTCATAGTTATCTTGATAGGAGGTCAAATGTCCAAGGAATAACTATATTGTTAACACGCAATCCTTGTTATATTTCTCAGTCTGATTGCTCTGTGCAGGCCAGAACACGACGAAGTGCGGTTTCCAATACAACTGGAAAGCATTTTGCAGTCACAGGATCAGTAACCGTATTAACCCCAAAAGAAACAGACACAGGTACTGTAGAAAACAATAAATTCTACGTCGACACAAAGCCTTTTAACAGATTCAAAGAATGTATGCAATTCTGAACCGGTTATCAGAATACCTTGTTCAAAATTTGCACATTGATCAGTTGAATTATCGTGAATACATAATTGAATATAAAGATACAAGAATCACCAACCAAGTAACACTAATTGTGTTTCTGGACAGAAATGTGCAGCTAGTTAATCAACTTTACGTTAAATGGCTTTTTGGGCTGCTTTTAGAATACAGGGTATTTTCTTCATAGTAACCATTCCTATAGACGGTAAAGATCAAGATCTGGTGCCCCAATGGAAATTTGACTGCTCTAGGGTTTCGTTAGTGGAAATTCTCAAATTTTTCGTGCCTCGATTCTTTCGTTAATAAATTCCACCATCAGTCATGCTTTGATTTCCCCTTTAGATTCTTTATTTACCCAACTTTTGAAATCAGATGGCGCGAAGACCGCACAAATAATTTTTGATATTGTTATCGATTTCTTCAGTTTATAAGAGACGAGATCCCTAAACAAAACCAAGATATAACAATGCTTATCTATGAAGCAGGGTAGGTCTACGGCATCGCGAAGCCCTAGACCAATCACTACAAACTACGTACACTTTAAGGACTAACGAACCTCCCATGCTAAACGAAACTTGTAACGAAAAGGATTAAATGACAATTAGTCCTAGGATGTATGTTTTCCCTGCATAGGGCCTCACAATCCATGTTTGTAGTCTAAATAATCTTACAGGGATTTCAATATGTTTCAGGCAGCGAGCATCCTACCGATCAGCAGGAACTGGAACTAGACAAAGAGAACTGTCTTCAACAGCAGGAGATTATTGTTGTTGTGATCATGCTTGCTATAACCGTGGTATTTTTGTTGATAGTTACCCTGTGTTTCTCTTTAAGCTTCATTAAATCTAAATATCGGTCACAGTTCACAGCTTTATCCTCACCCCCTACTGCATTAAACGAGATAAGAAGACAAAGTTCATGTTAAAATTAATACCATAGTTGTGCCAAGTTGCAACTTACGGAATGTTTATTGTCCATTTGAATGAGATAAACTACTTTTATAGACCAAATGATACAACTATCTGACATGGTGGATATAATCAGCAGTAGGAAATGGATATTGGCAACTAGGTGACAGGACTCTAGTACTTCCGACTGTGTCCGAAACTCAACATGATCGATTAATAACAGACTCTATTTATTTATTGGCGAACCGATTTACGACGTAGTATTCGATCGTGAACTAAAAGGAAAACATTCTTAACTAAACTTGCCTTTCGGTTAATTTCCATTAGAAAACGTTTGGCCTGTATTAATGCAATAATGTAATTCCTGGATTAATGTAATTAATTCATTCATCTACCAACTCCCTGCATGATTATGAATAAATCGGCAAGAATTATAGCAAGAACAAAACAAACAGATAACATGACTGTGGTCCTCATTGATTTAGAGTTAGACTGACTTCCAGTTAATCAAAGAAAAGTTTTAAAGTATCTATATTAGCTTGTAACGGTTTTCCTTGCCCCATTTTATTTAAGTGAGCTTTCAAACAGGTCATTTTTCTGACTTCAAATGTTATTTAAATTTAGACTTTTATTCACACGGTAAGCCCACACTCTAGACCATATCTTCGGTAAACGAAAAATATGGAAACCACTCACGGAGACTGTCGACCTAAGGACTGAAAATCGAGACAATTACGGAGACAATGGTATTTGACAGTCGAGTCAATTTAGGCTATTTCTTGTCAAAACTTCACTGTAAAATTTTTAACGTCGCTTAGAATAAAGTAATTTACTGAAATTTTGTATTTTATTCATTTTTCATTGACGATTTTTAAGCAAGTACAGTCAGAACGGCCAGCTCATTACCTAAATATTACAATCAATTATTGTCCTGCCCATTATCATCTGATACCCCCCCCCCCCCAAAAAAAAAAAACAACAAAAAAAACCCAGCGATACTCCCAACAACATCAATGTAGGCTTACTATTCTACAATTTACTCTTGTACTTTATGCAGACTATATCCATGTATTAGAAGTTCTAATAGCTATTAATTCTTATAGTATGTAATGTAAGAAAAGTAAATAATTGTTGATGTGAAGTACCTAATTATATTCTTTATATTCAAAATGTGTTATGTAAGTGTAACTAATGGAACTAGTGTTTAAAAAAGTATGCAATTATGTTATGATCTTAATAAAACCTTGCTCAACAACAATCGACTAACTAGTCTTCCGACATTATGAAATGGGTGCTACTTTCTATTTTGAAGTTTTGAAAATAATTTCTCCAGGACATTTCTAGCAATCGTTTTGAACGAGACGGTACCCACCTCCCAAAATTTTATATTCATAGATAATCGAACGAATATAATTTTCCAGCCGTTGATATATTGCCGTCACCCCAGTCTTTTTGTCCGCCCTTTTGTCAGCTGATCTTCTGTTCACATTTCTTGTTACAACAAAAGAGGTTATAATAATCCATATATGTTTATAAGGTTTTCTTTCTCATTGAAATGACGGGGTCTGTTAAGAAATCTTGATAGCCCTTTAGGCTGCAATTATTAGCCTATATTTTTGAAATTTAGTTGCCTATCCTATATTTTCGGTAATAACTTGTTAGCAAATCTTGTTAGTAAAACAAAAAATGAATATTAGAGGTTCAACAAGAACACTGTGATTGATTGTTAAACAATTTAATGATCACACATTGATCACTCTTGACTGTTTGGGGGGGAGGGAGGTGTATATTTGTATTTGGGTTGTTTTTATATTTGTATAAATTTTAATAAATCTAAACTCATGGGCACAGTTTGTGTTTGAATTAGATGGATTCGTTGTATTGTTACATTTGATAGATTGGGTTCACGTAAGACTGAAATGGAATAAACTAATTATTAGTTGAGACGTTTACATCAAATGATTCTGTTTGGGAAGAGTAAAGATACAATGAATGTCAAATCGGGTTGGCATGAGAAAGTGTCTATACCCCCCCCCTCCCCACTCCATGTATTCCACAGCCTAACTCGGTTTGTGAATCCAATAATTTCAAATCATTTCAATTGAAAGGGTTAGCTGTGGATGTGGAAACCGAACGGACAACTAGAATGTCCCGGGGTCCGATTGCAGCGAGAATCACGAACAATTTGAAGAGTCAAATGCAAGGTTTTGGATTCCCATTTGAAAAGAAATCGTAAAAGAACTTAACCAATCCAATTTCATCAGAATACTTAGCACGAGTTTGGACTAATGATGAAGTAGTCGTAACTGATTCCCAGGAGCAATGACGTTATCTGTACAAGAGAACCGTAATTGGCGTTTCAATAGTACGTAGCTTCAACACATAGATGTTTATCCGTGTAGGTATTAGCTTTAATATATATAATAAATAAAGTTTAACATCAGACTGAAGATATTATTTACGATAGTGAAACAACTGTTTTTAAGTGTCCTATTTTTCAAATTGTATTTGACAAACAACTTGAAAGTATTTACATGGTATCATGCTTTCCACGTCACATCTATTTATTTGGACGCATAGTGTATATATTTACTCAGCGTGTATACATAACATAGATTGATTTCCGTTTATGTGAATATGTTTATCAATTTTTGTAAGCATATAAGCTATCTAGTAGGGGCGCTCTGTTTTTATACGGTTGTATTGACATCCCCACTGTTCGCCCACCTGTTCGCCCAACCGTCGGCCTCTCGTTTACATATCTTATTAGCACAAGAAGCTACAATAATACATACATTTTTTAAAAATGGATATGGGCTGTCTTTGTTAGAACGTTATATAACCAATCTTGTTAGCACCGTTTTAAATTGATATCATAGTAAATGTCAAGAAAACAACTGTGGTACATTTATAATGCACCATTGTTACGTTAGTACTCGTAAAACTGTTAACATTATTTTGACATCTCAATAAAAAAAACCCTGCAAAACATTGAAAGCTTCACGTATTACGTAAAATTATTGGAAAATTTTACAATGGCGCCCCGATCTGCCTTTATATACAAGTGTGTATTTCGTTGCCCGACATGTTTAACATAATATTTACTTTTAAAATCAACACGTTATATATTTATTTAAATTTTATTTGCGCGCGAAACATAAATCAACTTTAATAGCATTTCTATAAGAGTTTATGACATATAATATACTTGTTTATTGCAGCGCTTTTTAAAGTGGAGATCTACCTTTTGAAATATTTTAATATTCTGTCAACTTTATGTAATAATATGACATCATTAACACCAGAATAATAATGGGAAATTACCCCATCTATCCAATGTACTAAAATATCAAACATTTCGCAATTGGATGAAGATATATATTTAAATAAACGTACTTTAACAGGAAATATAGAACAAGTAATTTGCCTAGCCGTCGGCAATTCAGATTTTACATCACCTGATGTAGCTGTATATACATGTAGTATATCACTAGATAACCTAGTTACGTCTACAGGTTTCACATTTCAATGGCGACGTTGGGTATCTAATCGTAGGAATGTCGTAAAGGTAAGTTTTAACAACACATGCTATTATTTTCAGTGTTTAATCTATAGTACATAATATTATTATGACAGCCATGGCAGTTAGTATCTACCGAAAAAACATCAACAACAAAAGTATTTAAAACATTTAACGCGTCTAAAGATAAATGTTTCTTTTTGTTTTATCTTTCTTTTATGTTCTTTATTATGAAGATCTTCATAAATTTATGTAAATATTAGAATTAACATATTGTATATGTTTATAAGTTGTCAGAGTAATAATGGCACTAGTTATACAAAAACAACATTTATAAGGACCCGAGTGCATTTAAAAAAAATAAGATTGTGATGTTTGGAAATGTAAATCAATAATGTTCTTAAATGTTTTTATTTTAATTGTTTTGTTTAGATGATTTCCCTGGCAAAATGTAAAATTCTGTATCTATTGTTCGTAAGTAAGTATTGGTAGACATTTATAACTTATCAGTTGTAATTAGAGATTCGTTACATAAGATTTTTATATAAAGAGCTGAACATTTTTGCTATAATAGCTCAAACATAGATAATGTAAAATGGAAATGTTGAAAATTTCATTGAAATTACTTTATTCTTAGCCATGTTATCATTTTTTGTAGTTTTGACAAGATGTATGCATTGTGGTTATCAGGGCACTGGTATATTCGAGACTTAGCCATTTTTTAAATTAAATCTTCAAATGGCGAACCATTTTAATCTAGTTAAAACCGAGAGTTGATTATGATCTTGTTTTGTTAATAAATGTCTAATTAAGTTTATATAACAGTTCAGGCCTAACGCGAAAGGCCTGCAATAGACAGATTTAGGCCTTGCATAATGTATGTTTAGCCAATTTATGAAAACTAATCGCAATTTAATTGTTCTTAAAACAGGTCTACGCACTGAAATGGTTACTAATTAGGTGTTAATATCTCCTAAGTAGAACTTAATGAAAATAAGAAAAAGTGTTTATTTATGTGGCCCTAATACGCTTCCGTATATTTATGCGTACTGTATTTAATACGATTTTGTTGTTTTTGTTATTTATTACAGATTTAAGTACAATAAATTAAATATGATATTATGGACAGGTTTCTTTAATTAAATTATGTACACTTAATGGGTTGAAAACTGGTAAAACACAAAATAAAAAAGTCCGTGTATATCAAACTCACCTTAAAATTGGTAAAAATACAAAAATAAAAAAAAGTCCTTGTATATCAAAAAGTCACTTTAAAACACACTTATAAAATCGCTGTCGTGAGAAGAGAGGGTGGGTCATCTTCTCCCTTTGTCATAATAAAAACAGGTTAAAACAGGAGGTCCAGCTAATGTTAATCCTAATTCAGGCGAAACAATCCATGAAATTAATCTCAGCTATACCAGTGATTGCTCGATGACAGTAACCCACAACAATTCAAACGTAATACAATTTTACAGGTGTTACTTCTTTATACTTTGACTGTCGAAAAATTGAACACGAGTGCTTACATGAGGGAAATTGTAACCTAGCAACTGGAGTTTGTGCATGTGAAGTACCCTACCAGGGACACAACTGTGGAGTATCAACAGGTGAATATTTCAGCATATTAAACAAAGAGAAAAAACCCTCTCTATCAAAAGCATTATATTGTACTATAATGAATATATTATACACGATCGACACAAACTATTGCAATCGGGCGAACAGTTATCGTTTAGTGTAATATTAAAAGTTGATTGCAATCGGAAAATTCACATTCACCCCCTTAAGAATGCTAAACATTTCGCCAGCAGATCCAATTGTAATTGCTCAGAAAATAGCTGATTTGCCAAATTATCCTTTTCAGATACCATCGTAAATTCAACCGATTGTAACCCAGCATGTGAAAATAACGGCATTTGTAACTCATCGTCAACTTGTATTTGCCCTGACACCGTCTATGGATCAACATGTGCTAATGATAGAGGCAAGAGAACTTCCTTTTTCATTCTCTTAATATTCAGACAATCGAATGCTTTTAATATATCCACTTTTGCAAAGTTTAAATCCATCTAAATTAAAAAAAAAAACTATCTCAAATATGAGTTATTATCACCAATTAGAATTTACCATAATATATTCCTATTGCCACTTTTCAAATTTTAGGTTCGGTAACATGTAGTGGGGACGCATTGGCGATTAAAATCGTACCGTATGGTCAATTTTCGGGTTTAGTATATATGAGAAAAAACAGAACTGATCCACCATGTGTTTTCACATCTAATGTTAATCCTAATTCTGGAGAAACAATCTATGAAATTAATCTCAGCTATACCAGTGATTGCTCGATGAAAGTAACCCAGAACAATTCAAACGTAAGTCTATGATTATTAATGATTTTGTTATAAATGGTAGTTTTATATATAGCTGCTGTACGTATATTTATCGTGCACAATGTGACCAACTCAGACAAAATCAGACACGTACGTTCAAAAAATGACACACAACAGTATTCAAAAACTTTTAAATTGGTATGAGACATGCAATGGTCGAGATATTTAGATCTGCTTTTGTTACGCACCATCAATTAATTTCCAGAAAACCAAAAGGATTAAAATTACTGTTAAGATAACAACGGCAATTTCATGTATTCCTGGTAAGTTTTCGCCTCCTGAATATTGGAAAAGAAAACTGAAAACATATATGCTGGAAAGTAAAATTGTCACGCCTTATCTCAAACAGGTGGCGGCTGGAAAGTAAAATTGTCACGCCTTATCTCAAACAGGTGGCGAACAATATGTGTCTAATTTAGTCAGAATAAATCACAAATATTAACTACAGAATATTTTGTCTCATACTGTAAAAGTACATAAAATAACACTCCCAACCAACCGATCAACGAAAAAGTCCACTTGTGCTCATGTCTTCAATTTCCCGAGTTTCATTTTAGATAATGGATGTTACATATTCCACAGAAGTCGTTATTCAAATATATGAACAATTTGAAACGTCATTAGATATCATTGCACATGCCTCATGCAGAGCAAACACTGAGATTGGGACATTTACTGTTAAGAAACGGTGAGATATTCCATTATTATTTCAATATGAATACTGGGCCCTTATTCACGAAAACTTAAACTAAGATACAATCGAAATTTTAAGAAATACTGCAATTCGATTGGCTGACCAGTAAAATCAATTTGCATATATCCAATTTCGATTGTATCTTAGTTTAAGTTTTCGTGAATAAGGGCCCTGGTTAAATTAAAACATGAGAACATACCATTAATCAAGTCAAGTCACGTGTAAACAGTATATTTTAGTCTTCGTGGATGCCAAATTAAAATTTATGCAATTTGCATTTTAATTTATCTAGTTCATTTCTTAAAGATACATTATGGGAGATAAGATAAAGAGATGGCAGTTCTCGCTATAATAGTTAAAAACTAGATCGTGTAAAGGTAATTTGCTGAAAATTTCAGTCAAATTGATCCACTATGAGCCGAGAAACAAGCGGGTGAAATTTTTGCATTGTCTCGGTCATCATTACAAGAATCATTAATATAAACAGCATACACTCGATTATCCACTTTTATTGATTTAATTATCAATAGCGGCATATAGGAATCTAATCCAGCCAACATCGAAGGCTAGCCTTGACATCGAGAGTTTATTATGGTCTGGATAAGTTAGTTAATGTTTAATTGATAATTTAGATAACATTTCAGGCCTAAAGAAAGACTTGTAATAAGCATATTTTGCTCTTGCATAATGCATGTTTAAGGTTGGTATGTGTAGCAGGTTATTTTCCGCCGAGGATTTGGCAGCTTGTGGCAATACTGCACATCGTACCGAAAACTGTCTAATGTGCACTGGCTTTTAGGGGATACATATTTAACATATGACCATATATTTAAAGATGATTTTTGTCGTATTTTAACACTTCTGTTAAATTAGTCACAGGGTTGTTTCTTGCATATAGCCCAACTAATGAATCTGAATATTTACTTTCTATTTTAGTAGTGAAATCAATAGGTTGTATAACGTAACAACATATCATCAACCAGTTAAACTCATTGTACAGACTGCTCAGGGCAAATCTTTCAATTCACCATTAAAAATCGGCACACCAATGAGACTGTATTTCTCCTTGCTAGATAAAATCAGTAAGTCATTAAATACTATACATGTAGTTATGTCAACTCACAACATTAATAACATATTTTTTTTTTTAAATCGTGTCGAAATAAACAAAAAATACAACTTCATAAATGCTGCTATTTAAATGCATTTTATTTTCAATTCGTGTCCACATTAACATATATAAAGACAATTTTAAAGTAATGTAATTTTCAGTTGCCATAAGGTTTATCATTTATAATATATTTCAAATATTTGTTTCATTCAATAGACATGCTGAATAGAAATATATAAAACAATGCTTAGATTAATGCATTATTTGACAGAAAGCCCATACGACATCAGAACACATGATATTCTTTAACCTTTCACTGTAAAATTCTTATGATTTCAGAATATGATGCACTTATTGTACAAAGCTGTGACGCAGTAGAGGGATCCAACCCGTCCACTAGAGAAAATATAATCAATTATGGGTAAGATCGCGATTTGTATCTATTTCATTTCAGTTTAGATTTCTTATACTTGCTTCATCCGTATAAGTAGTTCTTTGAATCATTTTGATTGGGTTATATTAAAGTTAATGTCAACTGAAAATTAATCTCTTAATGATGTCGCCTCATAAAGATGAGAACAGATAAGGCAGTAGCTGTCAAATACAACTAACACTACACTGTCAAATACTACAAATATAACTAACTCACACACATAAGGAAGTAGTATTTACTACAACTATTAGTAACTGGTGATAACTGTAGATATCACATACTGGCCCAGGTCTAAAGGCCGTTTCTGTCTTGTGTGTACTCGATGATCATCTGACCGTAACTTGCATCGAGGTCATTCAAGAAAATTGTAGACCTGTCTAAGAATTAGACACGCAATACTAGGAATTATTGTTCACAAGGTGAATAAAAACTAGTTGCGCCAGTTTGCAGAAAATAGTACAAGGTCCACGTGGAACAACTGGAGATTTTTCGATTGCATCATTCGTACCTGGACGCCAGTACCCCATTTCACCTAATTTATTTTGCTTCCTGGTGTGACTGTAGCCCCGCTTAAGACTTTATGAACTTTGTGTTTAGTTGACTTAACTTTTAATATGATTATTCCATTGCAAGTACTATTTGTAGTACCAGCCAACTTACAATTTTAAGAATTACATGCCTTTGAAGATAGACAGCTGTCATTATATTTCCAGATGTCCAACACAGGCTGGGAAAGGTATTGTATCGGGTGATATTATATACAATATGTCTGCACCTGCTGCCATCGTGTACTTTAAAGCCTTTCGATTCCCCGACTCTTCTGTAGTTAGCTTTTCGTGTAACATACAAATATGTAATTCAACATGTCAAAAGGTAAGAACAGCAATTCTACATTGGTCGTCATTTCTTGAAATGATTTTTTAAATGCAACAGTAAAGATTATATATTTAATTTGGTTAAGATATATGTCTCATTTGATATGTAAATTAAACTTTTTAGCAAGGAAGTATAAACTTATGAACAAATTACGTACTATCGCAGAGTAAATAATGTAGTCATGTAACGTGGAATCTCGATGCATCATTTTAACGCTATGGTAATCACTTGCAAAATACAATATTGTGACAGATAGGAATATCGTTCCAAAAATGAGTTATTTTCTTTTTTATTTACAAAGTCGGAAAAATGTCAACATTTTAGTTTGAATAAAAGAAGAAAAGCTTCACTGGATGACAGAGAGATTCTATATAATTTCGATTTGAATTTTTTTATATTATTTAAATTGTGTTACTGGCCCTGGATGTACCCCAGAATGATCCAAATCTGATCTAATTTTCAAACTAGACTCTACGCCGTATTCTTAATTTAAAGAAATCACAGCTTAAATATATATATAAAACATATTTATTCCTAAATACGTATTTATGTATAGTACAGGAGTACAATATATATAAAAAACGTTTTGAAATATTCATTTTTGTACCTTGTCCCAAATATTCTTTGTAGCCAGTGTGTGAGGGACCATTGAGAAAAAAGAGAAATGCGCTGACCACAGAAGTTATTACATTAAACCAAACCCTGGCAGTAGTCAATCCATCAGAAAATAAGGATAAACCAACTGAACAGCCACTGGACTCACATAGTACGTATAAATATGTACCTGACGTATATTCAATCGTTAATCTGCAGAAGAACATCACACATTCCCACCCCTTACTAGACCATGCCGAACACATTTCTCGATGAACTCTATGGGCTTGCTCGCTGGAAACCCTCAAGAAATTAAACATTTTTGAATTATTTTCTTTGAATTGATTTTTAAGAGTATGTGTGACTTAGCGGGTAGTGGGCATATCAAGATGTCTGATAAGCCCCCGCCATGTCAAAATCTAAAATTTTTACGTCACATTTCTGACAATCCATCCTGTAAATGTGGACATCAATTTGAAGACACTGAACATTTTTTATTGAATTGCTCCTTATATTCAGACGCCCGAAATAAAACAATAAATAATTTATCGACTATTCATCGAAACACTACTGTTCTATTGCACGGAATTGACGACGTGGAAAACTCACTCAATATTTTTAAAACTGTCCACTCGTTTTTTGAAATCACCAGACGGTTCCAGGGACAGCTAGAAACAATCATTGTAAATATATTTTCACTATAATCATACTTGCACGTGTACATTGATTATCTATTTCTAAAATGTAAATACATGTATCTATATCTGACAGGGAGATGGGTTTGATATAGGCTATGCCTGTTCCCCAATCCCTATTCAGATACAAATCTGAATAAAATATTGCTTATAAAAAAAAATAATCTAAAATTGGCATTGTTTAATCGGGTTGATAATTTGAATTATCTCTTAGTTAAAGCTAAGACATAATGTATATGTTACTGTCCTGTATTCTCCTGCTTTACATAACACATGTGACCAGTGTAATAACAATGCCATTTCAAAATTAACAAATTACATTTAAATGCACTCTAATTAAATTTGTACTAATATTTCGTTCCATTTAGAAATGTTCCCACTCTTTACTCTACTTCATGTTTATCTCAAACATGTCTTAAAATAGCGTTTAGTAACGTGCGGATTCAATCTGATTAAACCACGGGTCCTATTTCGTTTCGTTTTTTATAGTTCAAAATTTTGTTTTACTTGTCTTTACTACACTAGGATCTGGAAGTGTTGTTATATTACCGGTGTTCTGGTTGAAGTCAGGGATTAACCAATGAAACTGTCTGTTACGGCGAGTTCTGCTCTGCTCCGAACTGGGCTAATGAAGACGGGACCACTAGAAACGTCAACGCTGATTGATTAATCAATGCCTGACGTCATAGGGCCATAAGCCGCCCATACGACCCCTGACCCGGCCTTCCATTACAACCGGTCAGATCTTAATGTAGTGTAGGCCATCGAAAGTATGGTGCGGATTGTGATTGTTAGTTTTCAGATAACACTACCAATCAAAACCAGTTATTACTCAGACATTTGGTTCTTAAACCTGTCGTGTGATATTAAGGGAGTGACAAACAAAATAACATCTAGTTTTAATTAAATTGCTTCAAATCATAGTATATTATGTTCATGCTGGGTATTATACATCATTATCAAATTCGAATTCTTCCCTATATTCGAAATATAGAATTATTATATTAAATAAACGTTATTGCCGAGAACTAGAAATTACGCATTAATTACGTATCATTTAACCGGGACATTGTTGTAGAATACTAGTTATATGATTATTTGAAAATGGCAGATTATATTCTTTAAATTATTTACAGCGCAAGACCTTCCTGACAAGAAACCGAACACCAGCGATGCATCAAGATATCACGATCTACTGAAATGTTTACAGTCTCCGAGAATCCTGATGCTTGTTGTCATTCTGTCCGTATCTGTTGTAATATTATTGGCTGTAATCTTCGGCCTAACTGTAAAACTTATAAAGTCAAGAAAGATAACTGTTAAAGTTTCCGAAAAACATCCTTCACCTATGACTGTTCAAGAGTGGTTAGAATTCAGAGGCCATAAGATTCGAGAAATATAGTACACTTGATTTTGTGGATTTTATAGCATGTAATACACCCTAGTCTATGTTAGATGAATGCAATAAGATAGTTCATGAATCTGATAATGCAAGGATTTCTAACATATTTTCTGACAAGACTAGTTATAGTTTAAAAGAATTGTTTTAAATATATCTATAATAATGTAACATCTCCATAAATTTAATGTTTTAATTTATAATTCATACTGATTAAGATTAAAGGTACACTGACTTTTAAATTGTGAACATGTAATTTGATAACGTTGAAATAAATTAGCATTTGTATAAGGTATTCCTTGGACAACTGCTTCGCTCTGGGTGGAGGCTGTGGGGCGCTAGGTAGGGGGGGGGGGGTCCAATGTATTTTTAGGGGCAAAGACCACATGGTTCGAAACGAACCATCTTATAGTTTATTAGAATTTTAACTTTTAGCACTGTGCATACAGTATCTTGGGATTTGTATAAGGTGTGCCATTGACAACTGCTTCGCTTTGCAGAGGAGACGACGTGTTGGTTGCGGGAGGGGTCCAAATGTATATTTATAGGGAGAAAGACCACATTGTTCGAAACAAGTTTTGATGGTCATCTTATAGATTACTAGCTGGATACCCGGCTTCCCCCGGGGCACAATATCTGCTTACCGGCCATCTTCCTTTCTTGAACACTTTCATGTTAGCTAATTTCATCATTCGTTACTATTATTAAATTTAATTAGCATAATAAACAGAGTTAACTCCCGTTAACCGTTAATTGAAGTAAAACTGTGCAACATTGGCCTTTATAAATCATGACCTAAATCATTCACATGCGGGTTGATTTGATACCATATATTTGGGGTGGTTCGCGTCGACGAAGCGTGATAGGTGAACATACAAACATCTTTGATTATATTTATATAGATTAAAATATTAATTTCTAGCATAATCTCTAAATAAAGTGTATAGGATAATGTAGTAATATGGATGGGGGATTTGTGCTGAAGAACACATATGTATAATAATAGTATTACCTTGATTAATTATTCTCCATTGTCAGTATATTAGCTATGGTATGAGTTGATTTAAAACGCAAATTAAATTGTTTAGGAAATATTGTAAGAATAACAGGAAAAGGGGTCTAAGTTCAAGGATAGATTCTATGTCTAAAAGCACGTGATCATTTCATATTTGGCATGAGTGACCAATCACATGATTAACTAAATCATAATTAGCCAATAGAATAATTAATGGCTGTGAATTTGAGGGTACATAATTTATAGAATGTGCGCTCTAGGTTAGACACCAGACAAATTCTTAGAGAGGAGAGACCATTGAAGTTCAAGGGACACCAAATGGTTTCAGAGTGCACCGTCAAAGGACAATATTGGTGTCAGTCATTATAAAATATGTGATAGAGCTCGTTAAATACATCCCAAATATAATTTTAACACAGAGATCATTGCTACGGGAGTTGTGTAACAAGCACGTGAAGAAACGGGAAGTGACGTCAAACATGACAAACATTATTATTATTATTATTACAGCATATTTATAGTGCACCCTTTCATATAACATGTTCAGGAGCACTTTACAAAGTGACAATGTAAATCATACATAAACAACAAGATTATGGACATGTTAACGATTGTATACAGAGTCTAAAAAAAAAATCTACTCTGTAGTAATTCCTAACAATTTTCCGTTCCAGTTGTGGAGTTGTTCCAAAGTCGGCAGTACAGTAGTAGACCTAGGCTATACATGTATCTCTGGTAGACTAGCTAAAAATAGAATAAATTCTGATGACCTCACTGTTTATTCTAGTGAAGGAAAATATGTATGAAAATCAATTGACTGTACTACACATTAATGCTGTAACTGTTAGTTATTGTAAGAACTAACTAGACTTTATAAACTATCAACATTTGATTTTGAACAATCTTCAGAAGTACTTGCTCGAAATAGGGCATCAAACTTACTAGTACTACGACACAGAAAAAAAAATAATCATTAGAATAGATAGTACTAGTAGTAGAGAAAATGTGTCAGTGAATCCACTCGACAATGTATTCAGTCATAGTATTCTATAAAGCCAGGTCGAGAGCACTATTAATATTAACAAAAAATAATACTGTGTTCATTTACAATTTTTTTTTACAAATTTGTGTACCGGGTATGCTATTTTTTGTAGAACAAAATTGCTCCTTTCAAAAACGAAAAACCAAACACTGTTAATTAAATGTTAAATAATCAATCCGAGGATGGATTAAGCCGTGAGATATTTGGTAATTTGCGAAATGTGCAGATCACACACAATAACCTTTAAATTATTCGGCACTTCGATCATTGTGTCTAATTGGGAGTAAGGAAATGTAAATATTTATTAAAATAGAGTGTGGCATACGGAACGAAGACTGCAATAAATTACTTCCCTTATCTCTGCAGTTCTATTTAGTGAACGCCTCCCCGACATTGTTGACATTTTAGATGAAAAGCGCGATACTTGGTATTCATGATGATCGAAGAATCTGAACGCGATACAGGGCATTTCTTTTATCACTATTGATGTATATTGTCTTTAAAGGTAAGTTATAACACTGTTGTTATTTTAATTTTAGTAACACTTATATATTTTATCTTCTCATTTGGCGAGCCCGCTTAACTGTATAATTGAACACTGGTTATTTTTTTTATTTTATTTTTATAAACAATATTTTTATTCAGGATGTCTGAATGGGATTGGGGAACAGGCTTAGCCTATGTAAAACCACTCTCCCTAGATAATATACATACATAGTATTAAAATAAAGGAACTAAATGGGTGTATATACACAGTTAAAATGACAAACACATACATATTTAAGTGTAAATACATATATAATGAGATGGATGGGAATGTACAATATATACTATAGGTTACATGGTAAGTAATTTAAAATTAATATTGTAAATTAAACAACTAGTAGGCAAGATTAAAATCTGTTTGACATATCAACAAACTTGTGGACTTTGTTAAAAATATTATTGTTTACATCGATACAGTGGGTTGAGGACCCGAACAGAAGACAGTTAAAGGAGCTAAATCGCTAACATTTGGGACCTAGAAATTGACAAAAGTGGGTCGCAACGCATATAATACTGTAATATGAATGTATATAAACTGATTTACATTCAATGGTTTCCGTTTTTACTCCAATTTCAAATCAGTTATGTTCGGCGAAATAAGCCAGCAGTCTCAAGCGAGTGCAAATTTCTAGCGTCTGGTTATTCCAGTCTACATACGCCGTTTGATTTAGTGCAATGTGTCTAGCATCGTCCCTCGATTCTCTTGATACAACTGGGGCTGGAGCACATTATGGTACACGATTCGTGTACCAATGGTAAAATGTTTATTTTGTCTTAAATATTGAATATCAAAAGCCCACCTTTTCCCGGTAAGATCACAACATGAATGTTGATTTAATTTGACAAATAAATCGTGTTTTCAATGTTGAAGATTTTGGATGATATTGAGTTAGAGACTTAGCTACTTTAATGTTTTTGAGATCGTATTGTAATTTGTCTATGGTTTCCTTTCGTGCATTTGAATATAAAGAGCATTGCAAGAGGTAGTGAGCAGGATCTTCAAAAAAAATGTGACCACAGAGGCATGCGGGGCTGTCATCAACATGCCTGAGGTATTTGTGACCCTGTATAGGTTAGAACATCGGAGTCTAAGCTTACTATGGATTATCTGAAATTTCCGCTGACCGTTATAGTAAAAAGACGGAATTTTTATATCGGATTTGGAGAGATGATCGGAGAATATTTTAAGAGTTCTTGAGTTTCTTACAGGGGGGCTGAGTTTATTCCACTCTCTAATACTGGATGGGATAAATGATTTAGAAAAGATTTCAGTACGACATCGAATTTCTTTTATTTTATCTGCGTTTCGAAATGAACATGTATTTGTTGGTTCCAGATTTATGAGATTCTTAAGATAGGGAGGAGTAAGGTTATTTATAATTTTGTATAGTAATTTTACTTTGTGTCGATTTCGTCGTTTTTTGAGTGGAATAAACCCAGTTTCCGCGTAGAGGGAAGCGTGGCTAGTACCTTTAACCGCCCCACAAATAGTGCGTAGTTCATCAAGCTGAAGGGATTCGAAATTATTAGATAAGTAGTCTGTGCACGCGTCCCAAATAACATCGGCATAGTCAAAGTCCGGCAGAATGAATGAAGAATATAAGGTATTTAGCGATTTTCTGTTTAAACGATATTTCAACGAACGTAGGCAGTTTACTAATTTTTATACTTTACTAATGATACTATCAATGTGGCTGTTCCATTTACAATTAGTTTGAAAAATAAGTACAAGATGTTTATGTTCAGTTACGTCCTTTATTTTAATTGATTTCATTAATAGGGGTGGTTTCACAATGTTGCGTTTAGTCGTGAGTGTTAAAGTTTCTGTCTTGAGGGGGTTAAATGTCACTAGCCACGGTTCCGCCCATATATTGATTGTTTGGAGATCTTTGTTTAGGGTAACTGCGTATGCCTCTGGGTCATCTATTTTCAAGTAAAGTGAGGCGTCATCTGCAAATAGTCGGATGTTTGATTATATATCATTTACAATGTCGTTGATATATAATAAACACAGTAGTGGTCCCAATACAATGCCCTGAGGGACACCAGCAGGGATGCCCATAGATTCGGGGGAGGTTCCATGTATTACGACGCATTGGTGTCGATTATCTAAATAGTTTTTGAACCACAATAATAACCCTCCTCGGACCCAGCAACATCTAGCTTTTGACAGAGTCCGGCATGTCAGACTCTGTCAAAAGTCTTGCTTATGTCACAGAAGACGACCTTGGTATATTTGTTATGGTCGATAGCTTGACAAAAAAAGTGATGATGATTTATTAATCGGAAGACAGTAGAATCACCTGGTAGGAAACCACTGGTTATAACCCGATGTATATAGTTTATTATTGAGAAACAATAATAAATCGAATAAAATTCTGCGCACATATAAAATTTAAACGGTAAAATATAGAGGAATGGTGTATTTACCTTGTCTCAAAATTTCAGCTTAAAATATTGATTTGTTTGGACGTGAACGTCAAAACGCTTATCTGGACATGTAACCCTTTTAAGATTTTGGGTCAATTTTTTCGTTGGCCGTTCCTTAAGAGATCTATACAGTGCATGACCCAGTTACGTACCTTATAACGAAAGGTAAATTTCATCTACACTTAATTTTAATAAAATAAAAGTCTGGTTTTATCCAGACATCATATAAT